CCCCCCCCTTAACTGGAATACATGCAGTGTAGGAGCTCTAAACAGGAGTCTGTTCCAGGGACATCCCAAAGAGATGTTTTTACCACCCATTTAAATATTAAGTACAGAGTGCAAGAAAGCAGGTCACTGCAATAATATTTTGTGTATCTCTGAATGTATTTTAAATACCTCCTCTATAAGAACCAGCTCAAGGCTTCTCTAGTACCTAGGCAAATCCTAGTTTTGTTCTGCGGATGGGACTCCAGGCTGCCAAGGTTCAGTTTGAGAAGGGAAAAAGTGAAGCAAAGTGAACCTGGGGTAGAGGACCCAAGGGCTGGTGTGCTGTTCTTGAAGGGTGAGAAAAGGTAGCTGCAGAAGGGGGCTGTTGCCTCCCATGGCATCTGTCTTTTGGAGTTAAAAGCTTATGGAGAAGATATGAAGCTACTGTGAGTTTTGAGTAGGAACGCACAGATAATACCTTTAAAAGTCAGTTTATCTTTTTATGATTTCATTATTACTTTCAGTTGATTGATTTTGTGTAGATGTAACCTTCCTAAAAGCCAGAGCTGGAATTTCTTGCATGCTTACATTTTTGTTAATTCCTCAGGCTGCACAAAAGAATCTATGCACTGAAAACATAGATGCCTGATGACCCAAAAGGCTAGAAAGGAGCTGGCTAATCAATTAGTCAAATTGACATTGGCCTTCCCAATAGCATCCTGGCAGATTGTGCTTTCACTAAGCCAGACGTAAACAGCATGGCGAGCTCAAAAGTATAACCCATCCTGATGCCAAATATGGACCTTGAGGCTACTGATGCATGCAATATCATTTGTTTAACTGCTGGCTGACACGTTTCTAATGAGACAGACAGTAAGTTGCTATAAATTGAATGTGGTTTTGCCTTCAATGGCTCAACCTTTTGCTGGCACCTAGAGAGCAGAAAAACCTCTGTGGTCATCTTTCATTGAACTTGGCATTTAGGTTTATCTAGATATTCACATAAAATTTACTTAGCCCATCTGTTTACCATCACAATTTTAGTTTCTGGATTAACAGTATAACTTGCATAGTGCCTCTAGCTATTTGATCTCAAGCGTACCCTCCCAGGTGTGGCTGCAGTTCATGAAGATATATCTTAGTTGTAAACTAACTAGCTCAGGTACTGATTACACTGTTGCTTGAGTAGCTTAAATTCAGCATGAACTGCTCCTTTAATCTCTCCAACTCCTAACAGGAACCTGCTACAGCTGCCCTGTGAGCAGTGCCTGAGCTAGCTAAGTCAAAGACCACTTGCAAATGTCAAAATGGTTGCAATCACACCTAGACCCAGGCAACTATGACATAGTTATACCCAAAAAGAGATCAGTCTGTCAGATAGCAGTAAAAGTAGTTGATCAGCATGTGGGGTTTTTTTGTGAGACAGAAGTCTTAGCAAAGTGGGAGCAAGTGATGAGAAAATACTTAGATGAATATTTGTTGATTTATTGTTCAGTATTTATGTTGCAATAACTCCAGGATGGGCTTTCATCATGCTGCATGCTGCACAAAACTGTAAATCATGTCAGCCTCTTCCTCCAGAAGTTTTCAAATTTAAAAAGCTGAAATCACAAACAGAATACTATTTCTGGTGGAGTACATGCACCTCTGGTGAAGGCACTCTGCCAGACTTCTGTGAGATACATAAATATATGCCAGATGCTACACAAGCGTGTTGATCTGAGCGCTGCTTTTCTCAGTAAGCTGAGCACAGAAAGTTGGAGTATTAAGTTGTATGTTAGTCTTGTCACGTTAAGTTCTTTTTCCAGAGAAGAAAAAAAGGCTCGTCTGTCAGTTACACTGCAGATAGAAATTCCTGTGTCTTTGCCCATTTCTCTCCTGACAAGGGAATAAATCACTCCTTTAATTCAAAGCCTTCAAACCACTGAGAAGCATGGAGAATATGTTAGCTTCATTCTAGTCGAATAGTGCAGGGATAACAGTGGTAATTGTTAAGGCAACACATTTCTGGCTCTCCATTCCTCTGATAGGGGGCATGAAGGATGACCACAGATATGATTGCCACCTGGAAAAGATCCAGTGAGAGGATTTCCAAGTCGTCATGAGATGCTTCAGTAGTACATGCTGCTGGATCCCAGCCACCACTACTGAAATATTACAGGCTGATGGCTGGGTCACAGTAGCAAACTGTAGTACATAAAATACCGTGCTAGTGAGTCAAAAAATGCAGGAGAAAAAATATTGGCATATTCCTTCGTGAAAGACAGAATTTTAATGATCCTGTTGAAAACTGCTGTTTGTTCTTTCAGATCCAGCGAATTCAGCTCCATCTATTCTAGATGGGTTTGACCACCGTAAAGCCATGGCAGGACAGCGAGTGGAGCTGCCTTGCAAAGCATCAGGGCACCCCGCACCAAAGTATCGTTGGCTGAAGGACAGCATTCCCTGGGAGCCTGACAGCAGGTTTCGGCAGACAGTTACAGGTCTGCTGATCGAGAACACGCGTCCCTCGGACTCAGGCAACTACATCTGCGAGGTGTGGAACAACTATGGGACTGCCGAGATGATAGGGCGACTGTATGTAAAACGTAAGTCCTGGTCTGAGTTAAGCTCTCAGGCCACTTCTTGCCTGGGTGTTTGCATCAGGGAAGATGTTGCCGTATCTTGCTGTGCCTTGTGTTTTAGTACTTTACCTTAGCAATGCTTAAACTTCTCAAAGTTGTGGAACAATAGAAAGTAGGCTCTGTGGAGATGAGTTCATTGGACAATTGAGTGATCACAAGTGCAAATAGATGCAATTTATAATGTAGCTATATAATTTATCACATGGAGGATATGTAATTTAGAAGCTTGAATTGGATGCTTAAAAAGAAATTGCAAATGTTCTCATGAATAAAGCTGCCAAACTCTCATTGCCATGACTCATGCTGTTCGGTAATATTGAGTACTCATACCTCCTCTCAGTTGAGTATTCATGTGTGAATATTCTGAATGTTTCACAAATTCTGCAAAGATAATTATTACTTAGAAGCACTGCACTGGAAAAGTGTTATTCTTCTATTGTTAGAAAAAAAATTATTTCCTGGAATAGAAATAATGCTTTGTGAACTAACATTTCCACCTATACGGCATGACTAGCAAACTGAAAAGGGAGAAGTTTGTGAACAGTTCAGGCCATAAAAATGTCTTCACAAATAATTACACATAATGTATTTGGGCAAAATAAAACCAAGATCAGAGATCAGTAATTAGTGAATTATAACAGAGGAGTTTTGCTTCTAAATGTATTAATAAAAATTAGTTGAATTCAGTCTGTATTGTATGATACAAAGCCAAAACTTCCAGAGACATGATGTAGTGGTATTGCTAGTGATACCAAAAGTATCCCCGGTGCCTGGTGATACATTTCACTTAGGGACCCAGTGGTCAAACAGTCAGCAGGTATCTCCTGGATCAGGTTGGCAGGAAACAACAGCTGGGTGAAGGAGTTTTACCCCCCTCTGCAATGGAGGGGTGTGGTTCATTTTCTTGCATCATCATGGCTCTGAGAAGTTGGTGGTGCACTTGAGCGTGTCTGTTTTGTTTAATGGGTCATTGGCAGTTTTGAGCCTTTGTGGTCTTTTGGATAGGAAACATGGAGATGTTCAGTGACTTGTAACATGCATATGAGCACAGATTAGCTGTAGCTCTGGACCATTGTAGAGGAAAGGTCTGTTACATACACATCTGTGATGCAGAATGACTGAGGCCACCAACCTGTGCATTTTTTTCCAGGCCTCTGTTCCCAGTGGGCCACTAAAGATTTATTCCATATGTGTGTTATAAAATGTTCTGTAAAGTGAATGAGTAAGCTGAGGAAATTTTTACGTATAAGCATATGTATACATGCGTGTGTATGCATGTATGCAAGCTGGTAAAGAAATAAATATGTTGGTATGTAATTAGTATCAGAGATGGTATTGCTGTTGATAGCAGTCCCTTATCTTTATTAGCAAGTCAAATCAAAATACGCAAAGCATGAGATGAGATCTGCATTCAGTAATGCTGGTAACTCTGAGGTGGCAGGATAAAGATTGTTACCTTTGTATTTACATTTATGACTTTTTTCCAACACTATTCATTCTTTTTTTTTTTTTTTTACAGTATAAAACTTGCATTACCTATGTCCTACTGTTTTTTAAGGCTGATTTAAAAATACTGTAGTCTTCCCATGCTGAAGGAGAAAATTTAGTAAGCCCACACACAGAAACACTTACAAGTGGAGAGATCCTACAGATGTCTATACGTGCACCTGTATTAACATTTTAGTATGGATCTTCCACTCTTAAAAGCTAATCTCCTGGTTATTGACATTTACTGCACTTGTTCACATCAGGGAGTGGTTTTGAAATATGTGAACTGGGTTCCTTTTGCAGAAAATTAAACCAGGAGATGAGCTTCAGGAATGCACCTAATTCATCTGTTCAAATGTCAACACTGAACTAATCTGAAGTAACATCCTACCCTCCCAAAACCTGTGTAGTGCCATTGTTAGGCCCTCAGCACCAACAGTGTTACTTGGTAGATCTGTACCTACTGTTCATTTAGGCATGGTCTAGAGGATTATATCACATGTTAAGTAGGTTATCCCTATAGATCTATGTTTTGTGTCATGGGTGTTGGTGGCCAAAATGCTTGTTTAAGAGCAAACTCAGTCATCTGTTGTGTGGGGTTTTTTTTTCAGAAGGGTATGGCTATGATTTTTATTGTTCTCCTTAATTGAGAATTAATTTTTTTCTTGCAGATAAATGCATGTGCATACTTAATGTTCTCTATCTCCCTTTCCCTCTCCCTTATTTTGATTTAAATCTTCAGAACCACTAAAAGCCACCATTAGCCCACGGAAAGTAAAAAGCAGTGTTGGTAGTCAAGTGTCCTTGTCCTGTAGTGTGACAGGAACTGAGGACCAGGAGCTCTCCTGGTATCGTAATGGTGAAATCATCAACCCTGGTAACAATGTCCGGATCACTGGTGTCAACCGGGAGAACCTTATTATGGATGGCATGGCCAAGAGTGATGGTGGAGCTTACCAGTGCTTTGTGCGCAAGGACAAGATGTCTGCTCAAGACTATGTTCAGGTGGTACTAGAAGGTCAGTCACTACCTGTTTAACAATTCTGTTCTCCATAATATGTATGTCATCTTTGGTGTCATTGTTGTAAAGTGAGGGATAGTGGACCCTAGACAGGAGAAGATGGTACTCATGAACTATCAGTGGGGTTTATTGTGCCCCACTCTGAGCAAAAACTAATGGAATGAAAAAACTGATTTGAAAACAAAAGCCCCTCCTGAGCCTTCCTTCCAGTGGTTTTGTTTAGTTGGTTTTTGGTTTTGGTTTTTTGTTGGGTTTTTTTGGGTGGGGTGGGTGGGGGTGGCAGTGCTGATTTTTTCAGGACATGAAAGAAGATGTCTCTATTCAACTCCAAACATCTCCTCCTGGGCATGGCTTTTCTGGTTGGGTGTATTGGCTGAAGGCTTGGACATCATCTTAACTAACTGACACAATGTTCCACATGATAATCAAGTGACAAAAGTAATCAATTTGTACAGAGCCAGCTCACTAATGAGGCTGCAGTGCAGTAGTGGCATGGACACTATTTTTAGAGTCTTTATAGAAAAAGAAGAGATTACCTGCCTGGACCGAGTTACCTCGGCAACCATCTCCTGTGACTAAGAAAGCCTGAAGAGCATATTGATAATCTATCATGATGTTGAGAGAGTGCAGGTTATCAGAGAGCAACAGCAGGAAAGATTTCAAAGACACTCAGGTCTCACTGGGAAAATAATGTCTGCTTTCATCTTAAAAAAAAAAAAAGCCTGTCACTTGAATTAAAAAAAAAACAGAGGAGGAGAGGTGGCAGAGGTACATAGTGTGCACACTCACAGATTTATTGGACGTGTGTCAACTTTCTTTCAGGATAAAAAAAGCTTTTTTTGTTGTTTTGTTTTGTTTTCTGAGGGATGACAGTATCTAATACACAGCAAAGGAAAGGAAGAGAGTCAGAGATGAAAATAAATGAATAAACTAGAACTCTATCACACAACCGATGGGACAGAAATGAGGGTGAGAGGGGGGAAGAGGAGCAAATTATGAAATCAGATCAAATCAAATTCTCCTTCGGAGGTGCTGAGGTCTTTCAGCAGCATCAGAGTGGCAGTGCCTAATGTTTTTGACTATGGGTCAAGCAAGGGAATTTTGCAGCCCTGTTTTTAGTTCTGCTATGACTCAGCATGTTTCGTGGGGAGTGTTGCATACATCATGCTATTTCCCTCAGTTTCCTAGGCATGGTTGCACTGAAATTGCAGTGTAAGAATTGTGATCTCCAGGGGAGTCATCTTGGTTCAAGCCTCCCAAACATATAGGTAACACATAGCAGAGTGTACATGAAGAGGCAGTATATAGTGTGCACAAACAAATAGCACATCATACAGATCATGAGACTTGTCAGTCCTCTCCTGACACCCTCCATCCTGTGCAACACTGAAAGGAGTTGTCTTTAAAGGGCTTCGTGTACAAGGTGTCTCTGGCCCCTCTCTGGGTCATGAGGTGCCTTTTCCTTCTGTTTCTTGCAGGCACTAATACTGTAGGAACATTGAAGTTAGTTAGCTTACTTGCAATGTGGCTCTTTAAAACCAAACGGTAGCCTACAGCACTGTTGTCCGAACTTTGGACTGGATTGCTTCCTGTGTTCTGCATAGTGCTTTTGGTGTGTGGCCTTTTGCTCCCAGTTACACCAAAATTCCTTCTAGATACAGCTTTGAAAGTATGATTTTCAAAGGAGAACAAACATGCATTGCATGATCTCAGAAAGAACTTCCTACTAATAGCAGTGTCGGCACTCCTAAATGTTACCCCACTGAACTCTCTGGGTAGGTGGTTATTTAATCCAGCTCCCTACTTAAAATTTCACAGTTTCTGTCTCCATCCATTCTCTTTATTCACTTGCCTGGTAGAGGCTGAGTAAATTGTGACCCAGATCACAAGAGAAGGCGTTTGAATGCTCTCATTTCAGAGGAATATTTATCTGTAGCACAAAATGACCACAGAAAGAAATTGGCATCACTGCTGTTACTGGCAATCTGTATTCAGAAAAGCTTCATTGAATACTTTTCTAAATGCGGTATTGCGGGTCAGGACTAAACTGCATTGGCACAGCTGTGTGAAATTAGCCTATGCAAGTTATGCCTGGCTCTTGCCAACAGGATTTATCCTTAGCTTTCCAAGGAGCCGAAATCTACGAGGAGAAGAAAAATTCCAAATGTGTTGAGGTTTTGCTGTACGTCTTTTGTGATGAACTGTGTATGGCTTTATCACTTTTCCACAAGAACCTGGCAGTTCATCTAGCTGTGCAGAGCCCTGGTCCATCTATTCAAGTGCTTTTCCTCCAGCAGAGTCAGTACCAGGTTTCTCAGAAGATGAAAAAGAAACCTGCAGTAAGCAAAGATCATTTAAGTGCTCTACTACCAAACTTTGTTTCCTTCTCTCAATAATTAGAGCTACATCCTGGAACACAGTTGTTTATATCGCTTCTAAAAGAGATCTTGGCTCATGTGACAGGCTCCAGGATAGAGGGAACAGGTTTTACACCATGTAAGTACTATTTTCCTGCTTTTCTTTCCCTTGGCAGATGGAACTCCCAAAATAATTTCTGCCTTCAGTGAGAAAGTGGTGAGTCCGGGAGAGCCAGTCTCCCTTATGTGCAACGTGAAGGGGACTCCTCTGCCTACAATCACTTGGACACTGGATGAAGATCCCATTGTGAAGGATGGCAGCCATCGTATCAGCCAGATTATCACCTCCGAAGGCAACGTGGTCAGTTACCTGAATATCTCTAACACTCAGGTCCGAGATGGTGGAGTTTATCGCTGTACTGCCAACAACTCTGCTGGAGTCGTCCTGTACCAGGCTCGAATAAACGTAAGAGGTGCTTGTCAAATCAGCTCCTCAAAAAAACACACATAACTCATTGTAGTGGAGAAGAAGATTGTTGCATGTGATGAAATGAGTCTTGGAATGCCAAAACCAACTTGCTGTTTTTCCTCTCCTTTTCTTCCACCCTCTCTTTTCCCACCCTGCCTCTTCAGCCCCATCTAGAAAGTGTGTGGTATGGTTAAATGTTGGAAGAACCCTTTGGCTTGTGTTCTATAGTCTATTTTTCCTATACTCATCAGTATTAGTTCACCGTTTCTTTACTTTAGTCCTGCTGTGCATGTTTTTTTTCCCTTTTCCTTTCCTCCTTTACTCGTCCAATATTCATTGTAATTATTCATGTATACAGTACTTTAGCTTGCACTTTCAGCTCTACCTAGCATAATACCAGTCCTCATGGTATTATGCTTTCTATACATCCAAAGAATAAAAGCTAACTTTGTCAGTGTTCTCATGTGTAACATGATTCTAACTTTGTATCAGTTTTAGTGTTTCACATTAATTAAATCATCCTCGGCCTTTTAATTTGTAATGCAGCAAAGATCTTATCAGGCAAGTGTTGGATAATGCAAACACATACCCTCACATAATTAGTATGTACACTGCAGGGTGAGGAAAAACTAGAGCATATAAAGATTAGGGAATCTACTTAAGTAGCTCTTAAAAGCAAAAACTGTCAAATGCTAAGAAGTGTGCGAGCCGCATCTGTAAATGTCGTTAACATTGTATATTCAGAAAAAATTATATGCATGTTTTCTCAAGCAAATGTGCCTTTAAATTGTTTTCAAGAGTTTTTTGTTTTACCTTTCTAGGGCCAGCAAGCATTCGACCAATGAAGAACATCACAGCAATAGCTGGACGGGACACCTACATCCACTGCCGAGTGATCGGCTACCCATATTACTCCATCAAGTGGTACAAGAACTCTAACCTGCTACCGTTTAACCATCGCCAAGTGGCATTTGAGAACAATGGGACATTGAAGCTTTCAGATGTGCAGAAGGAAGTAGATGAGGGCGAATACACGTGCAATGTCCTCGTTCAACCCCAGCTGTCCACCAGCCAGAGTGTGCACGTGACAGTAAAAGGTGAGGTCAGCTCGGAAAACTAGAGCCAAGCTAATGGCTGTCTTTTATAGAAACAGAATTGCACACATAGGACTGTGCTAGCAGTTAGATAATGAGCACTTAAGGGAGGTTAATCCAGATTTGTGTTTATTTTTAATGATGACATAGATGCTAATCAGTTACTGTGTCGTATTCTCTCTTGACTTTTAACTCCTTCATTCAGCTAGCAAAGTATTGCTTTCTAAGTGGAAGCCTTGCAGAAGCAAGCTTTCTATTAGCAGTTTTCGCTACAACAGCTAAGGCAGTAGATTAATTTTTTGTCACCTGAGTTTCACTGGTGACTGTTTCTCTGCTGGAAGACAAAGTTCACATTTTCATTAGCCAGTGACTTTCCAGCTTTTAAAAAATATGAGAATTTTAATGTATGTGTTTCTGCCAATAAGCAGAGACAGGAACTAGAAGCATTAACCTTGCTTTCCTCTTATTAAGTGTGCTTTTCTGGGTGTTCTTGATGCTTAGAAAGGTAGCACTGTAAATAAATGTGACTTGAAATTCTAATAGGATGCTTAAAATCTATTTGAATAGTACCAAACAAGGATGTTCAGATAGACCTGAAAGACTTGGGCAACAGATAAGAATAGGATTTTTTTAGCATTGTGTTCTGACTATTCTGATATTGGCAACGTTAAGACCTATTCACAAGGACACAAAAGACAGAAAATCTGATTGCAGTAGCACCTAGTTTTGAGCAATGGGGCCACTAAATAGTGCATTTCATGTGAACCTGTAGGAAGAACTGAGGTATAATTTCACTGTTCCTGAAGTTCTTAGAAACCTTTCCTGGGCTTTTTTTTGTGGGGGGAGAGGAGAGAAAGGAAGAAAGGTTGATTTCTGTATCTGTTCTCAGGCAAGATACAGAGGAGAACACTAAGGTAAAATGACTTTGTTACAGACATCTGATCTTTTAACTCTTTTCTGTTCTGTTTGTTTAGCCCTTTCTTGTTTGCAGTCTGGAGTGATGTAACTGCTAATTTTTTCAAGAGGTTAGGGGATTAGCTTTAAGCCAGTAGTAATGTGGACTCTGAAAGGCATGGCATCTCGTACACCTGAGACCATCAGGGGCACTGGTCACACACTGTGGCATAAAAAGCTAATTTCACCATTTCTTTTCATGTATCTGGTACGTTGCTCGACATTACAGTAATATCTGAGATCTGTTGACGCAGTTTAGGAACTGAATGCCAAATTAGTAATTGTGTTGCTGCTGCACTAACACTTCACTATGGTAAATCTGATGGGCAGTGCTGCCTCTTAAATGATACCGTTCTTCAAATGACTATGAAAATGAATGTAGCCACACACAAAAAAAAAATCCAGCAGTCTATCCTTACAGCTCGGGCATTTAGATCATGCTAGCTGGTACCTCAGGTGCAATACTGTTTTTTCTTCCAGTAGGTTACAACTTCAAACTTGACAATTCCTCCCCCAGAAAACAGATTGCCAGCTCTATCAATTTTGATTGAACTGTAGCTTTTATCAGTGATTTGACTTCCTTGAAGGTATTCTACTGTGTTTCTGCATATTCAGCTGCCAGGGCCATTGGCTGGTCAGAAATCTCAAACAGTGACTGCATGTACTCTGAATAACTTGCATAAACATGTGGCACATTTGAAGAGTGCCAGTGGGCTGAGCTGCCCTGCACCTCTGATGCAGCCTTATCCTGCATGTGCTCTGTAAGGCAGATGCATCGGAGCAGTGCAAGCTGCGGTGTGAAAAGTGACCTGTGGCACATGCAAAGCAGACCTGTCAGTGTGGCTCATACCTGTTGATCTGGAGTTGCCAAAGTTGGCTGCAAAGTGCCCTAGCTACTTCAGCATGCCCTGGCCTTGACATTGTTATTTAAAAAAAGGTTAATATCCTGTCCTCGTCTGCTAAGCCGAAAATGTCAAAGGTGAGCTTTATATGGCAGACTTGAACAATTCTCAAGGTTCTGCTGTTGTAGCTGGAAGTCAGCATTGCCACAGTGGTTTTTTATATTGCTGTGCCTTGTTTTCTTCCATAACTACATAGTGATTTTGTCTAACATATTAGCAGAGAGTCAAAAGTGGCCTGTTGCTTCAAAGTATTAATGTTTGCTGTCTTTTTATTGTATAGGTTCTGAAATTATGTGATGAGTTTTCAGGCACTTATGTTTGATTCTGAGAAATACAAAATATGGCCCAGCTTGCTTATTAGAGGTTTAAAGTACTCTGAAATATGACAGTATAAGGGGGGTAAATATCAGTGCCTAAATCTCCTTATTTATAGTTCAGCTTCTCATACCATCAGTATATTTATTTCTTCTGCAGAGAAACAAAGGGAGAATTATTGCCCATCTTCAACATCATGGGTCCTTTGGTTTGTTCTCATTTCTGCTACAGGCTTCCTGGGTGACCTCAAACCAGTCATCTGAAGGGTGATTCAGAATAGATGATACTTAATGAGCTGTTACTTGGTATTTTGTTTCCTCCATGTTCTGTTCTGAAGACATAATTATCAATTTCCTCATGAGCTTTTCTGAGATGATAATCTCTGCGGTGTCAAAGCGTTTCAGAAACAATGTGTTCATTTTCAAAACCCACCTGGATGATCAGGAGTGTTTTGGCAAATGGCAACTGAGGCACAGACTGGACTTAAAAGTATCCACAAATTTTTGTATGTTCAATTTCAGACGCCTACAGCTTGATTTTTTTCCGGTTCACCTGCTGTTATATAGCATTTATATGTTCAAAGCTGTGCTCCCATTGAAATGAAGTTGCTTCTGAGAGTTCTTTTTCCTTCTGTAGATCAGTCATGTCACCCAGCTTAGCAACCCCTAGGAAAGACAGATTTAAGTAATTTCATTAGCTTTATCTGAGAGATCTGTGGCAAAGGTGAATACAGAATTTGGCTTTACAGGGCAGCATTTATCTGCATTATGCATACAACTGGCCTTTCTCATCTGCAGTCCTCTACCACATTTACTACCCACTTTCCAAACTCGCCAGTACATGAAGTATCCTAGTTCTGTCTTGAATGTGGACTTGCCAAAAGCAGCATCCAAATAAAGATATGCAAGAGCATGAGCATGTAATTAAATACAAGAGGGCTGCCCATTCTGTACAGTATTTTGAGATTTACAAACATCCAAATGAAAGCAAAATCTTGAGGACATTCTTTGGAAATCACTGTAAGATCTCAGATAGAACAGAAAGTTTCTTGACAGTAACTTCAAAATGAAATACTCGCTGCCAAAGAACCCAAGAGTGGGCTTTATAGAGCCTTGCTGTGCAGCCTCCCACCTGGCAGGCTGTCAGGAAGGCAAAGCTTGGGAGCCGGGCACTAATGTGCTATTCGACCTTAGGCCAGCTACTTCTTTGCATTGCTGATCAGAGGAATCAATTAGACACCACATGAAATCAATTGTCCCATTTTTTTAGGAATAACTGGTGCCCTTGTCTGCATAGCCACCTGCCCCAAAGGTCTGCAGACTCCAAATAACTCTGTCCCACAGAGATCATAGAATCATAGAATCATAGAATTGGTTAGGTTGGAAAAGACCTTTAAGATCACCCAGTCCAACCATTAACCTAACATTACCAAGTCCACCACTAAACCAATTAAGGGTAGAGCAGCAATTTCATGTTTCCTGGCTTGGTGGCTGGATTATTTATAATGAAAGTAAAAACTAGGAATCATTAAGGTTGGAAAGGATCTCTAAGATCATCAGTCCAATCATCAACCCAACACCACCATGCCCACTAAACCATGTCCCTAAGTGCCACATCTACCCATTTTTTGAACCCTTCCAGGGGTGGTGACTCCACCACCTCTCTGGGCAGCCTGTTCCAATGCTTGACCACCTTTTCCGTGAAGAAATTTTTCCTAATATCTAATCTAAACCTCCCCTGGCGCAGCTTGAGCCCATTTCCTCTTGTCCTATCGTTATCTACTTGGGAGAAGAGACCAACACCCACCTCGCTACAACCTCCTTTCAGGTAGTTGTAGAGAGATGTAGAGATGTGGCAGGCCACCCCACCCATCCCCCCATACTTTGCCTGTTCCTTGTCTCTGTCCCAAAATCTGGATCTTGGAAGCTAGCAGTCCCATAAGCTGGCTCCTGGGAGCTGAGTGGATAAGCTGGCAGGAAAATACGCAGGTTTCTGCTTGGCAGACATAGCTCTGTTGGAACTGTGCCTGAGTCCTAACGGAGCTTTTTGGAAATCAAGCCATCTTGGCATTATTTTTTTATATTTAGACAAATGAATTGGCCAGTTCTGAGTTCTGACAAATGCAGTTCTACCCATGCTGTAATGCATACCTAACTGTGGGGGGAGACTACAACTGTACTTACATACTTAATTTCTGGTATTTTATACCTGTCAACCACTTGCCTTTGCAACTGTAATAGTACCCTTTCAACATGTTTTGCTTTGGCCTGGTTAAATGCAATTTTCTTTTTAGCTTTTTTCTAAAGTAAACTGAACCCCCTTTCCTCCCCCTCCTGCAAAGTAGAAGCAGTAGTTACTGACATCCTCAGAAGTAATCATTGAGATTAGCCTTGCTAAGGACACCACATAGGTCCTTGCCAAGAATAGAATTATTCTTAGCAGTACTAGTTCTGTACTTTGCATTTGGCCGAGTTCTAGTGGTTTGGCAGTGGGTTTCATATACATCTGCTGATGGCAGAGGATTATTGAAGTCAGGCATCCTAAGGAGAATAATATTCTGCAGATGTAGGGTTTTGTATTCATTCCTTCTAAGTATGACCTGTCCTCCTCAGTCTTCTTCAGCTCATCTTTGCCCAAGTCCTGGCCTTTCTGCTCTGGGTTCCAAAATCAGTCTGTCCTCCACCTCTTTCCCATCTCAGTCCTCATTTCCTCAGTGCTTTGTTCTCATGACTCAAAACTAGTCTCCCCCTTCAGAGCTCCCAACCTTCCTCCCAGCCTCCAGTTACAGTCTTCTCTTTCTTCCAGTCTTCATTTTCTCCATCTCCACTGGGT